TCACTATCATAAAGGCAATAAAACCCCCCAAAAATACTTTTTTTTTTAAATCATGGTGGTGCCTAGTCACTGAAGTTAAGAACAGACTATGTTTCTTTATTAAACATTGCAGTAATCCACAAATCAATCTTTGGACAACACACAAAGATGTGTAAGCATGTGTAGAAGCGAGCAGACTTGGAAGCAAACATTGATCAATACTACAGCAAGTGCAAAATGGATACACTGTGGCTCAGGAGGTAGTGGGTTGTCCACCAATCAGAAGCTTGGGGCTTCTCCTGCTTCATGTCTAAGTGTCCTTGAGCAAGATACTGAACCCTAATTGAATGTTAGTTTCTGTGTTGTGTTGGCTTATCTGTCACTGTGTGAAAGGGTGAATGTGGCATGTAGTGTAAAAGCATGTGGTTGGAAGACTAGAAAGGCGCTATACAAGTACAGTCCATATATTTTGAAAGAGGAGTTCTGTCCAGTGTGGGATGACTTCCTGCTCTTATAAAGGTGTACTTGTCAACAATGTAATCTTGCCTATCTTTCTGTGTCTCTCTCTCCTTCTACACCACCCATAGGTAAACAGATGGGTCTCCCTCAAGCTGTGTGACATTGGTAAGAAAAAAGTAGGATACATTATTCAGTTTGTTGTAGTGCGAGTACTACAAAGTATTAAAAATGTCAAATGATGAATTTCAATGATTTCATTTTAAATATATAAATAAAATTATATCATTTAATTTTGAATTCAGAGAAGACAAACTCATTCGCTGCCACAGAAAGGAGCTTCACAGTCAAGATGTTCACCTTCCAGTTCTTCACACTCTTCTCTTCACTCTTCTATGTGGCCTTCTTCCTGGGCAGGTACTCCTTCTGCTAGTCTGTAACTGTTTATCTGTCTTTTTACTTTTGCTAGAATGGTCAAGTCAAGTCAATTTTACTTGACTTGACCAATTTTACTTCACTTGACCATTATTATAGCCAAATACCACAAATAACATGGCACCGCATATAAAATAGTATACACCCTTAGACCCTCGACACAGATACAGAAAAACTCACCAAAAACTTAGAAGAAATCTTAGGAAGAGTAACAGGGAAGGGATCCTTCTTCAGGATGGACAAATAGAAACCTTGTATTTTAAGGGTCACCTCATTTTAAAATTCACTGATATTGTTGTTGCAATGAGACTTGCTTGTGCATTCTCATGTATTCTTACAAATTCAGGACAAACATGATACCAAACAATGCACAATATTGTCTCATGAAGTTGCATTGGTGAATGATCCAGTTAATTAAAGTCTAATAGCAATAAACTGGCAGGCCCACACTACTCATATGGATGTAAGGATCTTGTTTTGAATATTACACCTGTTTTTTACACATTGTCTGGCTATAGAGACTATTACCCAGGGCTACACGATTATGGCCAAAATCATAATCATTATTATTTGCATCAATCTTGAGATCACCCCCAGTTGCAATTATGCAGGTGCATTGACACCTGTATATCTCATGCCTGGGATGTACAGATCAGAGAAAACCCCTCCCTGCAGATCTTTTTTAACTTGTTAAAAACCCCCTTATCCATGAACACGTTTCATGAGGTTATTAAAAACAGCTGTACATGTGATTAGAAATTAGCAGAGAAGCAGAATTCATTGTTGACTGGCGTGGAGAAATGCGCTTCTGATATACACCAATCAGTCATAACACCATGACCAACAAGGACCACTTTGAGCTACAGTAAGTCGTTTACCACTTTTCTCCACTCCGCTAACATGCTCTGCTTAATACAGCATTCTTTCTGGATTTATCAAGACTGCAGCTGCAGAATGTGTGTGCAGCAACAGGATAGCTCCCCAAAAGTGGAGTGGTGCCTGGCTGTTAGTTTAGGAAACACTTGAATTGATAAACAGCAAAGTTTTATGAATTGTGGGAAGCCAAAATTGTGATTGCGATTTATATTTGATTGATTTTGATTGTGCAGCCCTACTGGCACCTTCTATCATCATACTGACACCATAGAGGAAAAACCTCTTAAACTAACAGCTGAGTAGCTACAATACAATGCATGTTCATGGATCAAGGACATTTATTTATAGCTATACAACACAAGGTTGTACAACAAAATTAATGTTTGCAGTCCCTTCATACAACACAAGTAGAAAAAGATAATTACATTTATGGTAGAATAACAGCTGTTCACAATATTTGTTAATCAAATTGAACAGGTCACAGTCCTGAAGTGACCTGCCTGACGAATGTAGCTCTAGAGACATATAAGGCACATGAATTGTGATATGACTGTTCACACAGAGGTGAAAAAATCTGACCTGTATCTGATGGACGACATATGAAAAATTGTAGTGCCTGAAGTTTCAACTTCCTTTTCATTAGTCGGATAGATGGAATAGAAAATATCGTCATACTCCGTTCGAGAGCTGACTAACTTTTTATTTTGTGCACTGTATCTACCTGGACTGGGAGCTAAAAGGACAGGGCAAGGTTTGTTTCCACTAACAACTAGTCGACTATTGGGTTTAAATAACAACTACTAGTCAAATAGGAAAATCTTTAGTCTGGGTCAGCCCAAACATATACATATATACACCCAAGGAATTCAGCCATGCATTTTTTGAATTTGCAGCAACAAGATAGTGATGATAATATGGTTTAATCTTCACATGCACCACCAGAGACAATAAGACCTTGGACCTGCTGTATGCAAATGTTTTTGGATGGAAGTAAATTTCCCCATTGTGGGATTAATAAAGTTATCTATCTATCTATCTATCTATCTATCTATGTTAAATTACAGTGTATATATCTTCTTCCTCCTCACACAGTGTGGACAACCAGCAGCAGACACATGGACGTACTGCCACCTGGTGGAGAAACTGCAGAGTGGAAGAAAAGTGTCTAAAGGGAACAACTTCACTGATTAACACAATGTGTATGGAGGACAAAACATCACAGAAGCATGAATAAATAAATAAATGTAGAAATAATTCAATTGAATATATTTTGGAAATGAAAATGGATATTTCTGTATTTTTAATATATACATTTACTGTCTTATTCTGTCACCAATACTGCAATTCTTTAAGGATTGATTACTATTTATTCATTATTCATGCATATATATATTTATATCTTATATATTGTATTATAATGTGCAATGTACTTTTTAAAATATCTTCCTTTTTTATTTTGATTCTGTCTTTTTCTATTTTCTGTTTATATTGTTGTTAGATATTATAATATAATACATATTTTAACATTCTTATTATTATTATTTCTATATCTTTATTGTCTCGTGAGCAGACAAATATTTCTGATTCAGATTTTTTAAATTTTTTTATTTCTGTATATCTGCATGTATTTCTTCAGTGTTTTATATATTTATTTATTTCTGTGTCTGTCATCAGTCTGAAGCAGGATTGGTCATTTCACTGAGTAGGCGGGGTTTAAACATACAGTGGGTGGGGCTAAATTTACTTTAATTTAAGCCTGAAATTAATGTGGGTTGATCACAAGTTTTATTTATTAGAATTATTAGAACGATTTACATAACTGAGCTTCAGATTAATATTACTGATCACAAGAGTAAAAGAACTGATTAAAAGTTGCGTATTTACGAGATATTGACACATTTCACTGATTTAATGCTCATAAAAAGTACATTCTTTTTTCATTTTTTTCATTTTTAACTCTATCAGGTCATAGCTATGCTATCATTAGCATTTAGCACACACCTGGTCAGAGTACAATCATGAAAGTAACAGATAATAAAGTGGCTCCAAACATGTGACAGAAGTTTTATTCCAGGAACTTTTTATTTCTTCTTTCTCTTTATATCTCCAGCAGACAGACACTAGGTTTGGTTGTATCTGAGGACAGTTGGTCTACTTCAGCGGCTCCAGTGTTTGTCTGTCGGTCCTGTCGGTGTCTGTGTTGCTGCAGCTCGTCGAGCGCTCGCTGCCCTCCACGGTGGCGAACTTCACCTTCCTGTTCGACCTCTGCAGACACAAACAACCAGCACTGATGACACATCCTCTGCTTCAGGGGTCATCCTGAGAGAACAACCAGTCATCGATGTGTCTCTGATCTCACTAAAGTGGTTTTCTGACACTCTGTGTTGTAAAGAAAACTGAACAGCAGGAGAATCAGTTTTCAAAGTTTAAAGCTTCCATATGTCAGACTGTGAATCCTGTTCTGTCTCTATAATAATCAG